CTCGTACCAACAATGGTATTGACCCGCAATATTAGACCATACACTATACTTGCTAAATAACAGTTTTTATACTAACGAATTTTTACGACACCTACTTACAATTAGTGATCGCCCAAGACGATCCCGAGTGTCGCGAACCGATACTGAAATTAAATAATGACAAAATTCGGTACTCACCGCCACCACTGCGCCCCTAATTGTGACGGCAGAATTCTGCCACGTCACAGTATATATAATTACAAATCACTTTAAAACGTGGCTGAGAGATATATATTTTTCAAACGTTGGCGCCTCCACTATTTTCTTAATCGACTCATGGAGTGGACATTGTCCTGCCGTTGTCCAAGATGTTAAACCAAAAATTAAACTCGTAGTTTTGAAGATTATACCAAAAGGCACAACCGAAAAAATTCAACCATTGGATGTATTGGGCTTCAGAATTTTGAAAAATTACGTGGAACACTTTTCCGATGCAGTACTGTTAATGAATGAAGACTTAAATCTTTATTTGCGTGATAATATCATAAAACTTTAATCGTTAACTCGTAGTCAATTATCCTCACCGAGATATCAAAATTTATTTAAATTTTTATGGTATAAAAGCGGCTATACCGATGTCAAACCTGAACATTTTGAAAATTCAGTTGAATTCGGATTCGGAAAACAATTAAATAATCGCTACGAAATTAATGGATGTTCCAATGTGGCTATAGTAAAATGCTCATGGTGTAAAAAATTAATATGTCTGAAACATTTTTTCCATGATTATCATTATTGTTCGGACTATAAAGAGTAAAGTTATTCTTTAAAGAATTTATGTAAAATGATGATCGCATAAAAAATGTTAAGTATATGTTACAATGAAAAAAAAAATAATATTTTTTATTCAATATTTTTAAAAATAAGATGCTATTCCTTTATCTTCAACTGTTACTCACAGTAAATTCTTTTCTACTGGGACTGTCCACAAACAAAATTAAATAAAATTATGCTTTTAAAAATAACTTAGCCAAAATTAAGTGACAATATTGTTGATTGGAGGTAACTAAACCCTATAAAAAGAAAATTTGTACCTTCGATTTTATTCGAATATAAAATATTAGGCACCTTAAACATTCTAAAATGGAGATGTGAAGACTATATCGAGATGAAGTCAATTGAATTACTATAAGGCGGTAAGAAATATTAAGTAATAAGTATCCCCTGTACAGAGTTTTTTGCAAAAATCCCGAGACACGTACATTTTGTTTGTTTGTGCTCTGTCTGACAGAATCAGTTAAAATCAAATCGGCATAATTTTACATTTTTTACATCGAAAAAATTGTCGAAAAATTGTTATTTTGTTTTATAAAAGTTGAAGGATGTAATCCTTTGGAGTAAAATGATAGCCTATAATATCGTCTATACACGATATATGTTTATCTCGTTACAAAATTTTCAATAATTCTTGAGATATTACAAAAAACGTTTTTCGGGGGTGAACTTTAAGGGTCCATCTCACCCTTTAAATCGCCGAGTTAGAACGTATAAAAAAAATACGTTTCTAATGTTTTTTCATGTACTATAACATCACAGAATGAAGAAAATCGACGAGGTATATCTCGGGTACTTTCCTTGTATAATAAGTCACTTAAGGCAGCATTGCTCTCTGCCTCGCGCTCTAGATAACCAGAAAATATTAAATTACAAAAGGGATTTCGCCCTTCGCGAAGCCGGCGGGGTTCAACTTATAAGAGGGCTCGCACATCGCGAAAAGAATTACTCGAGATCAGGTTGGCACATCGCGAAACGGAACATTAACATGCCGACCGTGCAAAACAGCGTTCCACCTTCCGGTTCGACACGGCTTCCTGGTCCGACTGAGGAGAAAGGCATCAACGCGTATTTATTATTTCAATTCAAAATAATAAGCCGCTCACAGGGGACTAGGTCAAAAGATATGAAAAATAGGCCACTCACACGAGACTTTGACCAAAAGATAATAAAAAATAGGCCGTTCACACGAGACTAGGCCGACACAAAAATAGGCCGCTTACACGAGACCAGGCCGACGAATAATAAAAATAGGCCGCTCACACAAGACTAGGCCGACAGATAATAAAAATACGCCGCTCACAAGAGACTAGGCCAACAGATGATGAAAAATAGGCTGCTCACACAAGACTAGGCCAACAGAAAATGAGATACGCCATTTCCTCGAGACAATGGCCGACTAAAATGGGGAAGGGAGGACCGCTTGATGCGCGGCTCGGTGACGGGTAGCCCGAGGAAATCGCGAAAATCTAATCAACACTAGTCAAATCCTACTCAAACTCTACTAAAAAATCGTAAACTCAAACCTTGGGATTGGCAAATGCGGCGATGCTCCCTCGGGGAGGTCACCAGATGCGGGATCTTGCACGGGTAGCTGACGATGAAGTCAGCAAGGGATGGAAGTTCTCGAAGGCAGCGGTGAAATCGACGTCTCGTAGGTAGCGAAGAAAATTCAGACATGTCCGTGCAGCTCGCCACTCGAAGACGAAGAAGACCAGGACCTCGCCGTGGTCCCCCGGGCAGGCTGGGTGTGGCTCTTCGGTGCGTCGGCCAGTTGACAACGGTCAAGTTCGGAATTTTCTAAATTCCGAGCACTGTCAGCCGCGGCCGGAGATAGCCCGGCGCGTTTATTCGCGCGTGGCATTTAAAGTCACGCCGACGGTCCAATCGGACGCCAGGCTGGAATGTAATGTCATCGAGATGGCGGAGGGTACTGTTCAGGGGCGTAGCTCCTCGGGGATCCGGTAGCGTCGGTCCTGGGCTTCCTTGAGTCGATTTTTCCTCTCGGTATGCCCTGGAGGGCCGGCATACCCTAATGCGGGTTCTCCTGGGTGAGGGGACTGGTCAACCATTCCGCCCTGGTCTCGGCGCAGGAGGGCGACGCAAATGGGACCCCCCCCCCCCTCTCTGCTCTTACAGGAACTCCCTTAAGTCAAAGGTCACGGCAGGGTGGGGGGTCCACAGCCTCCGACAATGCACCCTCCTCCCGCCATCGACGAAGGGCCGGAAAATTAGGTGCAGACGCGGTGAGACTGGGCCTCACCACAGTCAATCGAGCCTACTTTGCGCGGCTCCGGCATCCATGGGCGGCGGCGGGGCGAGGCTCCCGTGCCACCGTGTCCCTTCTCCTTCCGTGGTTCCTTGCGACGCCCTTGTATCGCGACGGCAGTCCTTGATGTTAATCTCCGCACCGTCTGCAGTCGCCTCGCCGCTAGGACGTCCTAACGTCTAACCGATACGCAACTTGAGATTACAAACAAAAAATGTAATATCGCGCTATTAATTCTATGCCTCCTCGGCTCCTCGGCCTCGAGCGTCGAGCGTGCTGAAATGAGAGATGGGTGAAATAAAATAAAATCAAATAGCATTTCTCTACCTTCGTAAACTGTTTTAATGTTTTACAGAAATACCAGGTGTATAAACTTAAATTCGCTGTTTGCTCATAGATTGTGTTAGTGAGCATATTAAGTTACTATGGACACGCCATACTTTTGTTCTGTATAAGTTTGATATCTGTCAACACTAATCAGTGCACATCATCAGCAATTTCATACTATAACATACATTTTTCTTTTAGTAATCCTGTCTAGTTTTTTGCCAGAAAAAGAGCATATTAGGGAAGCTCTGCTTTTCTGCTTCAATTTGAAGAAATCGGCTGCCGAATCGCAACAAATGGTTGTGGAGGCCTATAGCGACAGTGCTTTATGGGAAACTACATGCAGAGATTGGTTTCGTCGGTTCAAAGACGGAATTTTGACCTGAGCGACAAGAAGAGTGAAAATCGGCCCAGGAAGGTTGAGGACCATCAATTGCACGCTCTTCTGGACGACGACGATACCCAATCGCAAAAAATGCTTGCCGAGCAATTGGATGTTATTCAACCAACCATTTTCATGCGCCTACATGCTATGGGAAAGGTTCAAAAGGTCAGGAAATGGGTGCCGCATGAATTGATCGATAGGCAGATGGAGCGACGCCAAAACACATGCGAAATCTTGCTCGCCAGACAAAAAAGAAAGTTGTTCCTGTATCGGATTGTGACGCGATGAAAAGTGGATATTTTTCGAAAATCCTAAACGCAAGAAATCGTGGGTTGATCCCGGCCAACTATCAAAATCATCCCCAAGACCAAATTGCTTCGGACGGAAGACGATGCTATGCGTTTGATGGGTTCAGCAGGGTATGGTCTACTATGAGCTGTTGAAACCTGGTGAAACTGTCAATGCCCACCGCTACCACCAACAACTGATCAAATTGCACCGTGCTCTGCGTGAAAAAAGGCCGAATTATCAGGAAAGACTTGACAAGCTGATTTTCCTCCACGACAACGCCCCATCATACACGTCAAAAATGGTCTGTAACTACTTGGAGGCTCTCAACTGGGAGGTGCTACCCCATGCCGCTTATTCACCAGACCAACTACCATCTGTTTTCGTCGACTGGCCACGCGCTCGCTGAGCAACACTTCGATTCTTACGAAGACGTCCGACAATGGCTTGATGAGTGGTTTGCCACGAAAGAGAAGGAACTTTTTTTGGCGTGGTACCCACAAATTGCCCGAGAGATGGGACAAATGTGTTGCTAGCGAGGGTCAGTACTTTGAATAAATTATTTTTTCGCTTTCTATGAAAGAAAAATGTGTTTTTCTGTTTGAAGAACAGCGGATTTAAGCTTATACACCTGGTAAAAGATACAATTTTGTCAGGAGAACGATAGCCCACAGGGTGCATCGTTACATTTTTATCGTACAATTGGAAAGTGACAGAAAGATAAGAGATATCAATTAAAGTAAAAACATCTATGGTATTGCAGATAGTGAAGCATTATAACCACACAAATGTGGATATTTCAATGTCTGTCATTTTTATAGGATCAGAATATTATAAAATAGATGTTTATATGAAATATTACCATTCATATCTATTTAAAATTTATACATTATACTCACAACTACGTTTCTTCAATAGGTCAACCACACGAAGGATCAGGATATGCAAGTCAGAAAGTTTTACAGATGGCTTGGCACAGACTGGAACATGCTCGTAGTAGGGTAAATGAATTGGAACGAATAAAAAATAAGCATCTTCATGGAAGAACGTCATTAAGACCAACGCAACAACAGATGTCTGGAAGTTCCCTGCAGTCAGCACAAACCAATACCACGTCATAGCATTGAATATTCGTTGTATACCTTTTATATGTTATCACTGTATAGTATTGAATAACAGCAGGGATGAAATGATTATGATACATCAATTTCTAGTTTCAATAAGACATATTTCAATATTATCTACACGTTTTAGTTTTTTACTTATGGGGCGATATATTCAAAACTTCATCAATAAAACACCAAATGAAAAAAATTTACTTTTACAGGATTGGACAATGTAGCGTTGATTCGTCTTTTGTGCGTATCTTATGGGTTATGTAAATACATTATAGTAGAAAATGTATTCAATGTCACACAAAAGATAAAAAAAATAGTTTTCATTATTAATTTTATGAAGGATGCAAATTAAAAGACATTGTGACGCGTTTTTTCCGTTCTGGTAGTGTTCTCCTTCGTCAGCTTTCGTGTCCGCTCCCCTTCCGGTTTTCCAACCGACCTTGGGCACCAGTTAATCTTTGAGTCCCCGAAATTAACAAACCGGTGGTCTATTTATTTTCAAAAAGGGAATGGAAGACGCAAAAAACCACCTCCTACTTTCTACCACGATACGGAGTGGAGGGGAGCGCGAGAGAGGCCCGACGGCATATCAGGCGCTGATCAAGACGCATGTAGTGGAGAGACAGGGTCGGGGTCGTTTAAATACCATGGACTAAGTAATGCTATACACCCTCTCATCATTTGCCCATTAGAAAAGAAGTGAGTGAATGAGAACAGTTTGAGGGTCGTTCTGTCTCAACTTCACTGTGCACGCGTCGCATACAAAAAGAAAGCGACACCGTTGAGTGATCGAGAAGAGTTACCGCGGTAGCGCTTTTTTTTATGCGTGAATTCGATTTCGATTTCGATTTTTTCAGACAGTACCCTTTCAGTCACTTCTCCGGACAACGCGCACCTGGGCAGTCACAAGGAAGTTTTCTATCTTACGCGTTTTCCGGACTTCGTTACATTTTCATTCAGCAATTTCAAATCAACCCGAGCTTTTAAAGGCGTTACGCCTCAGCCATTAATGATTTTCATCACTGAAAGCCGTATCAAAAGGAATCCAGGAGTGGTGTTAACGTTTCGTATGAGGAGGGTTCGGTTATGGACTCGAAGATCTAAAGTATTTCGCGTGTCTTTTATATCGCGTCACGTAAGATATTAAGTCTGACTTTCTTCTGCGATTCAAGATTTATGTAAGATTCGTGTAGGCGGGCTCCATTGCACCTAGTGCAATATGTTCCTGTTACCTTTTACTGAGGGGGATCATCGCCGTGCTGTCGGGCCCTCAGGTGCTTAGGTGTGTAAGGTTTTGTACGTGGTGTGACGTGGTATATTTTTGCCACCCCACGGCGACCCCAAATTTCGGCGGACATCTCTTTTTTTTAGCATTCTTTGGTTGCAGAGTCCGAGGTCCGACGGTCACCGACCCGGGGGGAGAGGGAGAGAATGCCTAATCAATAAATTCTTTAGTAATTTGTTACAGCCTAATTTAGCGATCCGCGGGAACTCTTCCCAATTTCCTGTGAGGAATCATTCATTTGTTGCCTTTTTTGAGTTTCCGGGCGTACTCTCGAGCACTCGCGGATGTTCGGAATGAATATTTGGCGAGGTGATCGAGAGCTCGCCAAATTCTTGTATCGCGTAGCGCGGCTACGGTCGCTAGGCCGGAGTGTCAACATCAGCAACCTCTCGGAGGTCGCGCTCGCGCGCGCGCTACCGCTCGTCGCCCTGGCTGGGAAGAAAGAAGCCGTCGAGGAAGCCTCGGCGGCCAGGAGCATCAGGACCGAGCTCATCAGCCGCGGTGCCACGGCCCGTTCGTCGGTTCCACCCGGAGGGCAAGTCGGCCCTGCTACACCCCCTGGTGGCCTTGCCTGCGGGGACCGCCGCAGACGGGCCCTGGAGGCTCGGGTGCGGCCGCCCGCAGGGGCAGAAGGACTACCCGGCCAGGAGCCGGACCAGAAGGCAGGAGCTCCAGCGACCCTGGCTGCCACCGACGAGGCGCGGCGTGGATTCTACGCCCTCGCCGGAGTACCCGGGGCTTACCCAAGGGTCCGTCTCCGGGTGAGCCAGGATCCCCCGGAGGGGAAAACATCGGGGGCCCAGAAGACCAGGGCCCATCGGGACCCGACGAACCACCGCTCGGCACGGCCGTGGCATCGCCGGCGGCTCGACGTGCGCCAGGCGCGCAACGCCGTTGCCCAGCAACCGCGCACGGAGATCGCGCCGCCGCAACCCCCTGCCCTAGGAATCGGGCCGGCGCACGCCGATTCCGCCGAAAAGTTGGTGCTAAGGGGCATCTCAACCAATCAACGGCGCCGATTGGAATTCGGACTGGCCAGCCGAAGCCCTATATAGGACAGCGCCTAGAGAGCCCCGATCTTCTCTGCCTACGACCGTCGGACCGAGCGGACCTGTGCTGAACAGTTTTCTCAAATTTGTCTTATTGTCTCCTGGGATTGAAGACCTGAGGACCTTCCCGGCTCATCGAGGGACTTAGCCGAGGGGCCGGCGAGCGGCGGTGAATTTTCTTGAGTAAAGCAAGTGCCACGTGCCTATTCGAGGACCCCTTGTTGATAGTTAATAAAAAGTAGAGTCTCCAGGTAACTTCGCGAAGTCGTAGGACCCGGATCGTGTCGCGCCGGTGAGCGGAATCGTACCGCGTAGCCGGTCTTCGTTAGTCTCACGCGGGCGATCTTCCGGTTTGCCCTGGTGAGGCCTACGACCCGCGGAAATCGAATTTTGAGTTAGCCTCTCGGGAGGCCGTGGGGTTCCTCGAGTGGACACGAGAGCGACTTTTCTTGTATTCTTCGAGTCGTGTCCTGTAATTTTCTAGCCATTTTCTTTGTCATTTTCTGTCGCGCCCCTTTAAAGTAAAAGCGTGCAGTTCGAGTTATCTTTTCTATTGTCTGGCCGTGAAGTTCGAGTTTCTTTGTCGTTTAATTTTCTTTGTCTGGCGGAAGTTTGTCAACGGTTTTGACTTCCGCCGAGACTAATTTTCGAATCCAGTAGAGTCATTTTTCTCACGCCGGTTTGTGAATGGTTTGGGCCCGCGGCGAGAAAGGTGCCATTTTCGAGATATTTTGAAGTGATCGTTCCCCGATAATTTGCGAATGGTTTTGATTTTCGGTGCGGAGATCTTATGATTGTGTCAATTTAGAGTCCTTTGTCACGGCCAGAAGTCGAGTCCTAGGCGCGTCCATTGTCTTTCCCTCGGGGTCGGAGGCGGAGAAGCCGCGCGGCGACCACGTGGTCGCCCGCGTCCGCGACCCATTTTCTTCCCCGGAAAACCCGCTTTTCTTCCGGTCGAAGTTGCGATATGCTTGAGTTTGTTTCGCCAACATTGGATTTTTGAGTTTAGTTTGCCGAATAATTTTTGAGAGTAGGTTTGCGACTCGTCCGTCGAATGAATTTTGTATAATGTTGCGGAAATTTAGAGTCGAGAACATATCGTGTAATTTCGAGTCCATTAGTCCATGAACGCGAGCGCAAGTATTTGAATTATTGGATTGTATTTTGAGTGTGTTCGATTTTTGAATTATTGGATTGTATTTTGAGTGTGTTCGATTTTTTAATTATTGAATTGTATTTTGAGTGTGTCCGATTTTGAATTTAAGGTGCGAAAATTATAGCGAACCCGTTGCGTATTCTCTGTATGATTTGAATTACCGAATTGTTTTTGCCTTGTGGTCGATTGGAGCCCGCGGAAATAGATTTTCCGAGAGGTGATGAGCCCTCGAATTTCTGTCGAGCGGAGCCCCTTTTGAATATTTCGCGTTAAATTGTCTTCCCCGGCGATAAACCGGGAAAGCTATTAGGTTTTCTAAGATATTTGATATTCTCTTGATTTTCTATTTCCTGCTTTAATTATCTCTCGCCTCATTGTCTCGCGAGAATTACCTTGCTAATTTAATTGTCTTTTGGGCGGCCTTCCGCCGAACCCTATTTCCGTGTCGCCCTTCTGTTTTCGCGCTTCATTTTGTTAATCTAATTATTTTCTATTTCTTTTTATCGTTAGAATAAATTTGTTAAAACTTGGTACCAAATTCGAATTCGTTTTTCTTCCGAGTAAGTGTGGCTGAATTCCCCTGTTTCCTCGAACCTAAGATTAATCCCCCCAAAATTTGTTGAAGTTTTCCCCTTTGCCCCCCGCATCTTGGTTTTACCCTTGCCCTCTCCGAACCTTGGCGCGTGCGCGCTCTGAGCTAGTCGGCCGCGCCGCGACGATTGTCGAGGCGGAGATCGTTCGAGCCTAGTCTTTGGAGTCAATTTTGAGTTTGTCGAGATTTGTTCGAGAGTACTGAAATTTTGAGTTGTTGAGATTTTCGAGAGTCGAGAGTTTGCCGTCGAGTATTTTTGGCCTCCGGGGAGGCCTGGCGCCCAACTTTGTGTCTCGTTCCCGAAACCGGGAAATAATTTGGAGTGGCTCGAACGGATCCGCCTAGACGATCGGGCGAAGGTGACGAGCAATCGCTGCGCTGCGGGCCCGGAATTCCCTCCCGAAGAAAGTGTCCGTTGTCGACACCGTTTCTCGTATTGTTCCTATCCGTCACAGTGGATGCAGGATCGTCTCGAACAACTGATCGCCCTAGGAACGTCGTTATGACGCCAGGACGGGAGGGTAGGCGCGGGAATACGAAATCGCTTCCCGTACAAGTTGCGTAAGATTTCTCACGTCAGCTGCAGAATCGCCTTTAGCAGATGAATACTAGGAACGTCGTCGTGACGCCAGGCCGACGTGATAGACGCAGGAGCGTGAAACCGTGCCGAATACCGCCTATCTGGTCGTATGAAAGGGGACTGATGCCTTACCGTCAGGCCGCTCGCGGTGAACAAGTCGTAGTTTAGATTCCCGGAAGGGGAATCCGTTGATTTAAGGCCTCCTTTCGTAGGCGGCCTGGAGTATCCCGACCGGACACTTTGCCGGTGTTATTCGGCTTCCCGGCGTTATTCTGGTTCCTGGTCCCATCTAGCTACTCAGGGCCAAGGTATGAAATGCCAAGAGGAGCACCTAGTACCTCGTCTCCTGGAAATTACGAATCCGCTTGTTAGGAGAAGCGGTGCTTTACCGTCACGCCACTCGTGGGTATCATAATTTAGATAATTTTGGAAAAGCAGCGCCGTCCCATCAGGTTCAAGGCTCGTTCGATCGGAACAGAACAATCGGAAAAGGCCCTGATCGGGGAAAATCAAGGCGTTTTATACCTGCCGAATCTATGGTCTCAGTTACCGTATCGTCGGGTTCCCACTCTGGCCCGCATTCTTTGACGTGCTATTCGACACGATGGGCGCCCTTAGACGAATTTGTAATTTATGATTCACGAAGCGGTTATTTCGCCCAATCGGGTGTAATGATCTGTGTATTTCCCGAATCTCTGCATCGGGCTA